TGTGTGACAATAGTCATATGTGTATAATAACAGTAGAAGTATGACTAATGACTAATGATGGCAGCAGCAGCAGGAGGCATCTGGCAGGACCACGGCAGCAGCACAACCACACACGTCACGCTGTCCAGGCACCGCTGGGATATGAGTTAATCTGAGAGACAGTGGAGCACAAAGGCTCCGGAGAAGAAGCCGAGTTAGTGACATCCAGAATGGCCGAGTTAGCAAGATGCAGTAATAGAATACGAGAGAGAGAGAGAGAGAGAGAGAGAGAGAGAGAGAGAGAGAGAGAAGGAGATACATACATTTTTTTTGTGACGTCTTTTAAGTGGCGAATTTGTCAGAGCTGGAAAGTGTGATTGTCCACAGCTTCATCATCATGGCCCTGTTGATGCTTCCTCATCCAGATATTTGTGGCACCAGGTGAGTAGGGAGGTGTTTTAGGATTGTTTCCTTTTCCCCAAGCTCAAAGGTTTCATCCAGGGGACACGTCTGGATGTGGAAGCATCAACAGGGCCGTGAAGATGGAGCTGTGAAAAAGTATGTTGTCACAAAAACGACCCCTTAATAATTGTTATGATTTCCCAAAGCTTAGTTAACATTTCTCACCTGTGTGCTGGATGTATGGGCTCCAGCAGATTGATCCGACCGACTGGACACCATCATCGCAAGCGAAGTGGACACTATGCTGCATTCACAGTGCTATGTGGAAATCGGACATATCAGCACTTAAATCTGTCATAATTTATCGCTCTTATACCGCAATTGGTGCTCAGTACTGTCTAAAACAGATTTCTAAATGGAAGTTTGTCACTGGCATCAATTTTTACACTGTCAGTCACATGAATATGGTGTATGTAAGTGTTGAGTCAGAATTTTTTTTTAGTTCCTACGTTCCCTGAAGGCACTGTCACTCATGATTCCACACCCCTCTCAGTTGATGCCACGCCCCCCACGCCAATTTTCAGTTTCAAATTTTATTTTTTTCAAGTACAAAACTTTTGACCCTAATGTAGCTCCATACAATTCTTAGAAATGTTTTAGGTTAATATTTGGACAACCACCGTCATTACAATAAATTAAGTCTGTAGTCATTTAATACTCACAGGCCTACATTCAGCAGGCCTATATTTGGTGCTAGAGTGACGCTATGTTATATGAAACATTAACCATGAAAATTAACCATGTCATGTTAGCTTGTCGGTAAGGGGGGTAAATAGTGCTCCAAATTCAGGCTAACGTTTAGCATGGAAAACAGGGCACAAGCAAGGGGTCCCTTGTTCTCTTACTTCAAGATACCTGAATGAAGATGTTTTCGTATGATAAGCGTTACCCCTTTACAGACACATCCACTTCACTCTTATCCCTTGCAGTTTTGTGCAAAACCCACGCGGTTATTTTGCGTGCGGTATTTATGTAATTTCGCCTATTCTATTTTATTATTCCTGCATATTGGGGTCCTTAAACAGTATTACAGTTGGATAAATTGGGGCTGACTGGAAAGCTGTGACTCTTGTGGAGTCAGTGAGCCCCTTGTATTCATGTGTGTGCCATGTGTTTACACTCTTGCCTCATAATAGTCATATCACTGCAGTAACTTCACTGTATAAGGTGAGCTGTTTTTGATATTTTATACAGGTGAATCAAATCGAATGCCTGCTATTGACGACACAATAAAACATCCATCAGTTAAAAGTATTTAATACTCTGAGTAGTTTCTGAGAAGAGTACTTTGTACTTTTACTTAAGTATTTTTTAAACACCAGTACTTTTACTTGTAATTGAGTACAAATTTTCAGTACTCTTTCCACCTCTGCTCCTGAGAATAACCCTCTGACTTGTACCTCACCTCTCCATCTGCTGACAGACACATGTTCGTCCACACCGCCTTCTGAAAATCTTCCTGTTACGTCCCGTTGGCGGTCACACAGCCGGATCTGTAAAAGTAACACAGGTTCACTTCACACTCTGAATAACATTCACTGTACTGGCTGTATTTCCTGGGTTTACCTGAGTTTAAGTCCCACCACATTTACAGAAACGTGTTCATGTGGCATCGTCACAAAGACTCATATAGTCAGTGGAATACAGCTGAGGCTGACTCAGGTCAGGCTGGACTGAATGACCAGCACTGATGACATCAGCTCGAGGCCGCTGCAAGGCCAAAAGATCACAGAGAGCGTCTGTCACTTCATACTCTGTCAGAAAAATACTAGGTAACACTTCATAAGACAGCCCATGTTTTAGAGTGTACCTCTCGCCCACTTTGTTAGAGCACGAGTTAGAGCATAACTCCTCCCGGTCACTTACCATATACTATACCCTAACTCCCGGGGAAGTATATGCCAAGTGGCCGCGTTGTTATACTCTAACTCCCGGAAAGTGGACGTCAGGTACACTCTAAAACGCGGGCTGTCTTATGAAGTGTTACCACATACTACATTAAAGAAGAGCTTGGATACAGGAAAGTGTTTCTGTTAAAGCTCCAGTGTGTCAGATTCAGGAAGATTCAGTGTTGTCTGTCAGTGCGGACTCAAACTGCTCCTGGTCAGAATTCCTTCAGAATTCAGGAGCTGAATTATTGAGAGTAACAAACACACCAGCTGATTCACACCAGGAAAGACTCTGAACACACAGGTTCATGTTACAGATCAGACTCGGTGGAGATGATCCAGGCCTGCGCAGATTTGACCGTCAGTGACTGCCGCACAATGCATGCTGGGTAGTTTTGTGTTGAACTTCATCCTGCCTGCGCCTCTGACATCATACAAATGTGGACAGTGATAATGTGGTGAAAGCGAGGTGGCTGCAGTTTGTAGAGGCAGACACTGCAGCGGCTCTCCACCGACTGTAAGACCCAGGGCATGATGGGAAACACCTGGCTCTCACCTGATCTAACAGCTGATTGGTTCAGATGTTGCCTCAACAAGATGACCCTTTAGATAAACTTTTCATTTGAGTTGAGTTTCAGAGATTAAGATTTGATTTGATGTGAAGGTTAATGAACAGAGTCCGTGTTGTGTGACTGAATCATAAACTCTGCAGAGACTTGGACTGTTTGAATGAGTCGAGTGTTAATCAGACTGTTTCATCTCCTTATCGATGCAGTTCATATCAAAGTGCACATCCAAGTGTGTTAATTGGTCTGGTGGTTTACTGTCTTTACTGGATATTTCTTTCTCAGGACCATCTGAAGTTACCACATTTATCCCTGTCAGTCCTGTCGTTAAACAGTGGTTTTTACCCTCACGTTAAAATATCACACAGCATTAAATCACCTCTAATCTCTGATATCTGCATATGTCAGCAGCAGCTGGTTCTGAGACTGAGTCAGTCCCTGTTCAGAATAAAACCTCTGCATGTCTTTGTGTGAGCAGTCGTCACACTGTGTGTCTTCACACAGACAGCTGTCAGACTGTATGAGCACTTTACTAAGATGTTTATAGCATGTAACGTGTCATCTCAGTTTTAATCATAGAAATAAAATGACTGGAAAAATCAGTCGGCCTGTGCATGAATAACTGTTCTAATAATAATAACATGCTGTGATTGGTCCCATTGACACAACATAACTCTTATAATATTGGAGACTGTTAATATTTCCTAACAGGAAACAGTCCAACTCTACAGGAAGTGTCTTCACACCGCACCGCTCACTGTCAATATTTCATCTCATCATGTGTCATAAAATCCATCACAGTGACCCTCAGATTATCGTACTCGCACTCGTACTCGTACTCGTACTCGTCGTCCTCCGCTTATCCGGGTCCGGGTCGTGGGGGCAGCAGCCTCAGCAAAGAAGCCCAGACAGTCCTCTCCCCAGCCACCTCTGTCAGCTCTTCCGCGGGAACCCCGAGGCGTTCCCAGGCCAGCCGGGCGATGTAATCCCTCCAGCGTGTTCTGGGGCGGCCCCGAGGCCTCCTCCCAGTTGGACATGCCCGAAACACCTCCCAAGGGAGGCGTCCGGAAGGCATCCTTACCAGATGCCTGAACCACCTCAACTGGCTCCTCTCGATGTGGAGGAGCAGCGGCTCTACTCCGAGTCCCTCCTGGATGTCCGAGCTCCTCACCCTATCTCTAAGGCTGAGCCCAGCCACCCTGCGGAGGAAACTCATTTCGGCTGCTTGTACTCGCAATCTCGTTCTTTCGGTCACTACCCAGAGCTCGTGACCATAGGTGAGGGTTGGAACGTAGATTGACCGGTAAATCGAGAGCTTCGCTTTCTGGCTAAGTTCCCTCTTCACCACAACGGACTGGTTAAGCGTCCGCATCACTGCTGACGCCGCCCCAATCCACCTGTCAATCTCCCGCTCCATCCTACCCTCACTCGTGAACAAGATCCCGAGATACTTAAACTCCTCCACCTGAGGCAGGACCTCCCCCCCGACCTGGAGTGGGCAATCCACCCTTTTCCGGCTGAGGACCATGGCCTCAGACTTGGAGGTGCTGATTCTCATCCCAGCC